TTCCACGGCACACCTGACGATCACTCACGGCACACTAGTGTGCCGCAGAACAGTGGTTGAAAAACACTGTTGTAGACAAATGAGTGCAATACATACCGAACTTGAGAAGGTACACCATACTGGCCAACAGCCGATATGAAGCTATGGAGAACAGTCAAAGCTCTATTGTTGGTGGAAGCATCAAGGTACACTATGAGCCTGGAAAATCCATCTACTCCACCACTGACCACGATCCTCCATCTATGGAAAAAAGAAGCCGAAACACATACTTTCATATATAAATGACAGACTTGACATACACATAATATTATATATATATATATACACACACATGTTCTTTACACCCTTGTCCCTAATGGGGTCGGGAGGGGTGCTGGTGCCTCTCCGACTATTGTTCCGGGCGAGAGGCAGGGTCACCCTGGACAGGTCGCCAGTCTGTCGCAGGGCAACACAGAGACACACAGGACAAACAACCATGCACACACACACACACACACCTAGGGGCAATTTGGAGAGGACAAATAAACTGACAGTCATGTTTTTGGACTGTGGGAGGAAATCTGAGTACCCGGAGAAAACCCACGCATCCACAGGGAGAACATGCTAACTCCATGCAGAAAGACTGGGGCCGGGAATCGAACCCAGAACCTTCTTGCTGCAAGACAACAGCTCTACCCACTGCGCCGGTGTGCTATATATATCTATATTCAATATTTAAGAATACTATAAACTGTAGTAAAATCTCTTTGGGTAATTTCACGTCTTTTGAGTATCTTGGAATTGAGGTAAAAGGCCACAAACGAACTTTGACACTAAATTTATACAAAACTCCAAAATATGTGGAAGGTTTCTTTACGGACTTCAATGAACTTCTATCTCTCATATGCATTGATTACGATTGTTTAATAATTGTCTGTGATTTCAACATTCATGTTGACAACCCTCAAGACCGAGGGGCAAAAAAGCTCTGTAATATATTAGAGAGTTTTGGTTTAACACAACATGTCAAACAAGCAACACATATTCAAGGACACACACTGGACCTGGTGTGTGAATATTTCCAGTGTCTCTGTAACTGATGTCGCCCTGTCGGATCACTTTGCTGTTATCTTTGACAGTTCTTTATCCATTAACCCACTTGGTCAAACAGCTACCATCACAAAACGTACTTTCACAGAAAACACAGCAGAAACATTTAATCAAATCTACTCTTCTTCCTCGTCCATAAGCTATAATGATGTAGATAAGTTGGTAAATGATTTTCAGTGCAAACTTTCAGATATCATTGATTACATTGTTCCCATTAAAGTGAAGGTTGTGTCTGGTAGGAAGAAATCTCCTTGGAGAAATGCACAAACTGTTCAATCTGCAAGACAACTCTGCTGTAGGGCCAAACGGAAATGGCGTAAAGCTCAACTGCACGTTTATTATGACGTCTATAAAGAAAGACAACGCAACTATCACTCAACACTAAAACATGCAAGAGAGGCTTTCTTTGCAGATGTCATAAACAAAAACCTTAACAATGCTTGAGCTCTATTGGCTACTGTTGACAGGCTCACAAACCCTCCTATGATGTTGCCACCTGAACTTCAATCTAATGCCGCCTGCAACAGGTTTTCCAGTTTCTTTTCAGATAAAATTCAAAAGATCAGAGGACTAATCTGCACATCCTCTCCAAAGCCAGTACCAATGCTGTGCCCAAACAAAACAAATGCAGGAAAAATGATCCAATTTCAACTACTTCATTATAAAAACCTAGAAGAAATTATTAGTCAATTAAGCTTCAGTTCCTGCTGTCTGGATGTCCTACCCACACATTTCTTTAAGTCCTGCCTGTCATTGCTAATGATCTGATACAAATAGTGAACTCATCGCTGTCTTCAGGTGTTTTCCCCCAGGCTTTGAAAACAGCAGTTATCAAACCTCCGATAAAAAAGAACAATCCAGACAAATCACTACTGCAGAATTACAGGCCGACCTCTGACCTCCCATTCATCAGCAAAGTTATTGAAAAAGCAGTTTTTAAACAATTAAATAGCTTCCTAACAATAACCAACTGCTTTGACTCCTTCCAGTCTGGTTTTCGTGCTCACCACAGCACAGAAACAGCACTTGTAAAAGTGTTCAATGACATCCATATAAATACAGACTGTGGGAGAACCACAGTGCTGGTTCTGTTGGACTTCAGTGCAGCTTTTGACACTGTTGACCACGACATCTTACTGAATCGACTGGAGAGTTGGGTCGGACTCTCCGGTCCAGTGCTCAACTGGTTTGAATCTTACATAAAGAACAGGGATGTCTTTGTTTCAGTCGGAAACTTGTCATCAGAGAGGTCAAAGGTCACATGTGGTGTACCCCAAGGTTCAATCCTAGGACCCCTTCTTTTCAATATTTATATGCTCCCACTGGCTCAGGTTATAACAGGAAATAAGATTAGCTACCACAATTATGCGGATGATACACAGCTCTACATCACAATGTCACCAGGTGACTCTGAACGTTGGGTTACTTAACGTAATCCCTGGTTCTTTGATAACAGAGTGAGGTGTTTCACTATGGGGAATCGTCTCAGCGTGACCCAACTACGGAAGCTCCAATGACATCACGTCTGTCCGCGACAGACAGGTTGAGCCGTGACCGTGGCTCCACCCACCATCCAATATCACGGCCAACCTACCCCTCTCAACTCATTCTAAGCAGGTTTCTTTCCGTGCCCATGCAAGAAGGGATGTGTTGGTGAAACACCTCACTCTATTATCAAAGAACCAGGGATTACGTTAAGTAACCCAACGTTCTTTTTCTAACTTCACTCGGTGTTTCACTATGGGAAATATGGCCAACTCCCGAATTGTATGCTGACCCCGAAGCAATGCTTGGCAGCGATTCATATCCAGGACTCAGGTGCAGCCTGATGAGCCAGCCCCAAGCACTGTGTGCACCAATGATGATTGGGCAACATCCAGCCTGTAAAACCTCACAAACGTGTGTGGTGTAGCCCAACTGGCTGCAACACAGATGTCCTGGACAGACACACCCCGGAACAAAGCCCAAGAGGTGGCCATGCTCCTGGTAGAATGGGCCCTCACCCCTTCAGGTGGCTTTGACCCTGAGCATCTATATGCCAGAGATATAGTCTCCACAATCCAGTGTGCTAACCTTTGGCGAGAGATAGGTTTGCCCTTATGAGAAGTGGCCCAAGACACAAACAGGTGATCAGCTCTTCTAAATTCAGCTGTCCTGTCAACATAAGCCTTCAAAGATCTCACTGGGCATAAGCAATTAAGCCTCTTTTCTTCTGCTGAAGAGAAAGGAGGTGGATGGAATGCCAGCAGTTCCACCATTGAACACCTGTATGATGTGTCCATCACCTTGGGCACAAAAGCAGGATTGGGTCTCAAGCATACTTTAGAGAGCCCCGGTGCCCACTGTAGGCAAGTAGGACTGACAGACAGTGCATGTAACTCACCTACCCTCTTAGCAGTAGTTAAAGCTAAGAGCAGTGCAGTTTTCAATGTAAGCAATTTCATACCAATACCAAACTTTGCAGCAACCTAAAATCTTTACAGCTGAAAAATCAACTCAAACGGAAAATTTGAGCACTGGTCATAAGCAGCCAAAATTTTTTGCCAACAAATCTACACAGACTGAGCATTTCATTTCGGAATCAATGGAAAAATCGACTCGGACCGAATGTGCGACTTATAAACTAAAGCAGCTTCAGACTCCATCTAAAACATCATCTTAAACACAAACTTTAAAAAGCAAACATAGGCATGTAAAGACTTCTACTAGAAATACGACTTCAGCTAAAACTTTAGCCCATGAATCTAAGCAGCCTAAATCTTTTGCTGAGAAATCACCGGAAATGGAAACTTCTGCTAAATCTAAGAGTTGGTGGGGTACGTGTGTGGATGGATTAATATTTGCTGGTAAATACACCCTGCTAGGTATTTTACAAGCAGCGGTAACATACGAGGGGTTGTTTAGGACAAAATCTACGTTTTGTCTCTCACACACTACCAAAAACTCACGCATACTCAAAAAAAAAAAAAAAATCACGCACACTCAAAAGAAACTCAAATTGCGTATACACCCTACTAAAATGTCACACACACACACAAACGTTAACTATCTCGCACACATACACTACTAACAGCTTGCACACACACAAATGTTAACTATCTCGCACACATACACTACTAACAGCTCGCACACGCACACAAACGTTTATCTCTCACATACACAAGACTAAAGTTGAACACACACACACACACAGTACTAAGACTCGTTTTATGTATGTGTGAGAGCGAGACTCTTTTTGAATGTGTGAGAATTGTCACGGAAGTGGTGGGGCATAATTTTTTGATCAAACTGCATGCGTAGATCCTAAACTACAAGTTTTGATTGTTGACTCACTGTATGTTCTATTACTTAGTATATTTATGCTTTTAAATATATAGAGAACTTCTTGTAGCTTAAATGTTCTATAGAAATAAATAAATCTGATTGATTGATTAAAAATAGCAAAATTGCTGTAGTACAATCTGTCCACTGGGTGCCAGTATTATAGGAATTATTAACAGGTGTGGAGGTCTTTTTTCGCTGTTTTGTGTCATTTTAAATGCGAAGAGAATCGATCTTTTTTCAGCTTTTGTCTCGTAAGCCTGACAAATAAAAGTCAGTCAACAAACACAGGTTCCCAACACGTAGTGTGCATTTATAATTTTTCATTTCTGAAAAAGGATGAGGGAAATTAATTTACCTGCAAGATCTTTTACTTTGTTTTCAAAATATTTGCACTTCATTGTGTGATTGAAACTATCTTTCCATAGCTACCTTATATTAAACTATGTTGAGGACAAATGTCAAACATAGTAGTCAAACATACACAATGAAGTGTACGCATGCGCAGTTTGATCAAAAAATTATGCCCCGCCTCTTCCGTGACCATTCTCACACATTCAAAAAGAGTCTCGCTCTCACACATACATAAAACGAGTCTTAGTACTGTGTGTGTGTGTTCAACTTTAGTCTTGTGTATGTGAGAGATAAACGTTTGTGTGCGTGTGCGAGCTGCGAGTACAGTGTATGTGTGCGAGAAAGTTAACGTCTGTGTGCGTGTGTGACATTTTAGTAGTGTGTGAGTATTTTTTGAATGTGCGTGATTTTTTTTTGAGTATTATGTGTGAGTTTTTGGTAGTGTGTGAGACAAAACGTAGATTTTATCCTAAACAGCACCTCATAGTAACAACCAAGGTTTATGAAATCGCAGCAAACTACTATTTCACAGACACAGAAATTCCTTTCTAAGAAATAGTTAGTAAAATACTAATGTACCGTCATTAGTATGAATATAATATAAATAGTTCTGAATGTGGCATGGCAGCACTCTATTGGGGAAGCTGTTGTGTGAGATTGAAAGATTTTAACAAAAGTAGTTGGACTCACCTCGACGCACTGCTCTGGCAACACTCGTTTTGAGAGGGATTGGACACTCTTTCACACTGGAGTTGCCATTGCTGAGAGGCACAGTGCAGGACTGGGCATACTTGGTGCTTCCCCATCTTGGTAAATCTTCCTTGGAGAGAAACTTCCATGTTGTACTGGGGAACTTCAACATTCAGTGAGACCTAGATGGATATTGTTGACTTTGAGGTGATTCTGGTCCACCATCTGGTGTCTTGGCCAGATGGTTCACCATCCTCCACTCGGGGCATTGTGTGTCATTGGACAGAATTCTGTGAAGAACTCTTCAATTCCAGCAGC